CCCTCTCCCCTCACCCATCCCCCCCCTCCCCCCTCCCACTCGGGTCCCAGCACCGGCCATTGGCGCGCGGGCATTCGATGCCCTCCCACCCCTTCGCAGCCACACCCAGGTTCGGAAACCGACCTTTTGGGGAAAGTCCCCCTTGGAGGCCTGCTGGTGGCTGGGGTCAGAAGGGTCACTTGGCTCTGAATGCTGTGCTATGGGGGATTTGGGATTTCAATCCCTGGCCGGGGTGGGGTGGGGTGGGGGTGAGGAGGGAGACGTGGTGCGGGAGCCAGGCCGGCTCTGGGGGTTGGAGTGACTCACTAATCTCTAAAATCACATGTAACATTACAGACACTTTTTTTCCCCTTTTCTCTCAAGTTGCCCAACTGAACAAGGCACATGTACCCACAGCAGAGAGCTCAAGAAGCGCACACACAGTGTTTATTGGAAGAGGGAAGTGGAAGCGGTGGTGGTGTACCCCTGGGGTGCAGCCCTGACTCTCCACTGGTGATTTCCGAGGTCTCTGTTTTTTAAGGAAGCAGGTGTAAATCCACCTGCTTACCTACACACTCCAATCTTTCCCTCATGTTTCTTCAGAAGTGAGGGTTGAGTGACAAACTTTGTTTTAGTGGTACAAATTTAGGTATTTTTTTCCTTGTCATTTGACTACTAGAGAATAGCATACACCCCTCCTGTCGACTCTTTCATACTTTTACAAGCATATGTAGAGATCCAAGCACCTCAAGAGAATTCCCTCCCGAGGGATGATTCCAGGTAAGATTATAGATTTCTCTCTAAAGAGTTAAAGTAGGTTGACTGAACTAAACAAACAAATGAAAAGGTTTTGTAAATTAGGCTCAAATAAGCATATCTATAGATGCACTATTTGGAAATTCTGTGAAATTACATTAAACTGTGTTTGTGTACTGCAAATAAAACTTATTTGTACCCATAGTGTTATTTTAGGAAACAAGGGTTCTAAATCTCACTAATAGAAAATGGACACAAAGTAGAAAAAAGTGGTTCACGCACCTGTAATCCTAGCTACTCAGGGAGCTAAGGTTTGGAAGATGGAGTCTCAAAGCCAGCCCAGGCAGAAAAGTCTGAGAGACTCCATCTCCAAAAGTAACCAGCAAAAAGCTGGATTGGAGGCATGGTTCGAGCAGTAGAGCTCCAGCTATGAGCAAGCAAGCTGATGGAGATCAAAAGCTCCTTTTTTTCCCCCCAAACTAGGATAATACCTGTTAACATTTGATGATATGGAGGCTATTGTCATGGGGAATTAGAAAAATATCCATCATGCAGTTATTGAGTACAATCATCTTTTTTCCCACAATTTTTTATTTTGAAAGGTATTAACAAAAAGCTTAATGTATTTACTAAGTTACAATTATGCAAAGTGCTGAATCACAATTTTGACAGACCAACTCATGTATTGAACAGAACCTTTGAGTTTCTTTCAAGCAGTCACATTTCCTTGTTTAGTCATTCACTGACTGCCCCAAGAACACCACTGGTCCTAACACAGACACTCCAGGACAGGGGAAGATGCTGATGACGGTACCTCCTGCTCTGTCGGTGAAGATAACCAGGAGACTTTTGTTCATATTGCCAGGGAATATCACCACCATTCTCTCCTTAATTGAAATGTGAGCTTCTCCCTCTTTTTGATTTTGTCTGAAACCCATATAATGCCAGTATGGTAACCATTCATGTACTATGAGATTAACATACTTTCCCAGAGCATCAGTGTCATTAAGAGAATCTGGACATATGGGAGGTGTGTGTGTGTGTGGGGGGGATTATTGGTGGTCCAGAAGGAAATGGAGAGATCCACATAACAGGAAGTAGGGTGGGGAGGTGGTGGTGAAGAGCCATTGAATTTTATTTATTATTTATTTTTTTAAAAAACCCTGCTGTAGTCTCCTATCTCTTTTTTTAATTTTTTTTATTGTGAAAATACTATTTCTTGTAGTAGATAGAATTTTTCCCTTTGATTTGATTTCCATGTTGCAGATCAACATCTTTTTTTTTTTAATTGTGAAAATACCGTACAGAGGGGTTACAATTACATGGGCAAGATAATGAGTATATTTCTTATCAAGCATTGTTGCCTCCTCCTTTGTTTCTCTTTCCCATTCCTTCCCATCCCCTCCCCCTGCCAAAGTTGTAAAGTTTGTTTTTCCACATAACATCTTGTACATCTCATTGTTGCAATGGGTCCACTGTATCCCTATTTAAACAATTTGTTATTTCCTTCCCTTCCCTTCCCACAAATTATACCAACATCAAATACAGTGAAAACAGGGGTTATACTGTGGAGGGAGGGACATACAAAGCAACAAAGAAATCATCTTATAAATATGTTAGAAACAATTGCAAGAAAGAAAAAAAAACATTTGAGTCTTTATCTTGGGGTTCATTTTGCCTAACATCAACTTATCTGACCGTTTCTGCTTGTCTCAGACATATACTAGTAATTGCAAATAAGGGAAACCATGGGACCTATGTTTCTTTGGGGCCATTGAAATTTAGACCTGGCTTTCCTGGTCCCAATCCTGATCCTGGCATTGGGGGTGGCAGAGGAAGAAAAGAGTTCCATGGAGCAGCTTTTGACTGTTATTCAGCTTATTTCCAGGAAACCTGGAGCTTTCACTTTCATCTGTTGAAATGTGACTTTCATTTTCATTCCCCTGAGCATTCGGTTCTCTATTATTTGCTCCTTCAGAGGCTGGGGAAAGAAAATCAGATAGGCTTTGCTCCTCTCTATTTCCATATCCAGTGTATACAACCACGCAGGTTCCTTTCTTTAAATCAACTGAAGCAATGGTATCTGGGTAAATGCATCCATCTTCTGACCAAATGGCACAACATCTGTCACCAACTTTCCACCGTTTCAAAGGAGTTGTGTTATTCTTCCTTTGGCTTTGATTCTTCTTAATGGGTTTTCTTCTAGGGGTGCTTTTTGGCTTATCTGGAGTTTCACAAATGCCACCATTCTTTAAAGCATGCTTAAAGGAAGCCACAGCATCACCATATGCTTTTTATCAATGCCTATCATCCCAGATGTCAGATGTCAGAATCCTCACTCAGCCCTTTCCAAGCAGGAACAGCACTGAATCTTCCTGCTTGGAGATGCGGCTGCCCAGCGCCATGGAGAGGCGCCAGCAGGAGGCTCCGCATGGCGCATGGCGCTCCACCCCCTCCTCATTTTGATATTCTATATTCAGTCTGAAAATTGAATATATTGTTAGGTTCCCCTGCCCCCCAGGGCATTTGAGCTCATCTGTTTGCTTGCTAGGCTAGCACTCTACTCCTTGAGCCACACCTCTAGCCTGGCTTTTCTGATTATTTCGGAGATGGATTTTCTCAGAGGTATCTTCCAAGGCTGGCTTCAACCCAACATCGTCCTGATAACAGCCTCCCAAGTAGCTCGGATGCCTGGTGCAAGTCACTGGCGTTCACCTTTAAGTACTTTACTAAGAAAAGTAAGCTAAATTGAACAAAATACTTCATATATCCGTTGGGAAAGAGTAAATATAATTTATTAATAAAGATTACAATTAACCTGTCACTCATTAAAACAAATGTACTCTATGCTGATAAGGTCATTTTAAACTACTTTTCAATCTAAAGCCACATCATTATTGTTTAGCATCCTGAAAAATAGTAATTTTTTAAAATTTCTTAAAAAGTTAACGTCTTTCTCTGAAAGCACTGAAAAGTTGAAAAAAACGACAAAAAGCAGTCTGCAGACATTTAGCTGGTACAGTCTCCTCTACTACTAGAACCCCTAATGAAGCATTGTGCAACTTGTGAATGTCTTCTTACAAAAAGGAATTCACTGAATTTTCAGCAATCCCTTTCTGCTTGTTAAAGAGTAAACTTCTCTCATATTCTAAGTGTTAGGATGTTCTGCTGATATTAATATTACCTGCTTGTGCTATAAAGTCCAGTTTTTTTTCCAAGACAATTGAGCTTTGTCATTCATTCATACCATTAAAAAAAGATTGGGTGTGGGTGGGATTTAAAGATAGATACTTTGAAGAGGGTTATCATGTCATCTTTGTTGTTGACATCATTAATTATAGCATGATCTGTTTCATCCCAATAAATCAGAAAACTCTGTATGAATTCTGATAGGTGAAAATGTGGTAGCTGTCTTTGATCTGAATCTGTTAATGCAATGAAAACAATACTTATTTTTCAAAGAACTGTTTTCATTGAGCTATTAAGTTGAACCTATGACCTAAAGCAGGGCTTTTGGTTCTTTTGCTTGTTTCTTTTTTAATTCTTGTTATATGAGCTATCTTTAAACTATAGTTTCCTATACTTCTGCAATTGTTTTCTGACCAAGAGTTAAGGATAGAATTGAGTATTCCTTTCCAAATGTGGAAATTCTAACTCCTATGAGTGTGACCGTATTTTGAAGGAGGGTCTTTGTTGATCAAGTTAAGGCCATGATGCTAAGCCTTAATCCTAGATATCTGTGTTGGTATGAAAGGGGAATTTTAGTTGGGTGTGGTAGTACATACCTGTAACACCAGCATTAGGGAGGTTGAAGTAGGAGGATTGTGAGTTTAAAGCCAGCCTTAAAGGTACATGGGGAGGCTTGTCTCACTTGATAAGGAAGAGGAAGAAGAGGGGGAGGAGTAGAAGAAGAAAAAAATGACATCATGACCTGATACGTACACACAGGGATAAAATAGTGTGAAGACGCAGGATTAATGGTATCTAAAAGCCAAGAATTGAGTAAGACTACCAGATGCTAGGAGAGCACAAGGAAACAGAATTTTCATGGCTGTCAGAAGGAACCAACTCTGCTCTCGTTTTGAT